TCTTATGCTTTAAGACTACACCAAGAATCTAAAGGAAGCCATGAAGGAGCATCACACACAATACCTTTGACCACCAGAACAGCTTTCTGTTCTTGCACACAGAAACACACAAAAGCCAGCATGGCTGCAAGAAGATGTGTGTACACCTACGTACAACCCACTGATACCTAGCAGAAGAGAAGCAAGTATTTCCACAGCTGTAAGGAGATGTGCAGAGCAAGTAAGGACCTCCTTGATTACAAATAGCATTGTCCTTTTTAGTGGCAGCTTATGCTGCTATCAAGGCACAGAGGAGGCTTTTTGTCTCCACAGTATTTACCATTAATACAGTCCAGTGAAATTGTATATAATACAATATACACTACACTTCATCATGGCTATCAAAGACTTGAAAAAAGGAATGAATCTTCTAGATTAGAGAATACAAACCAGTTAACCTGAGGAAAACTAGGTAACAATGAACTGAGGAAGAGCATGAGCAGTCTTGGTTTGCATGAGTAGATGGAACCAAAGAGAAGACTGAATAGAAAGAAACAGAGTTATTAAGAAATACAGCTATGAAACTGATTCATGTAATATGCACTGACATTTTCTATTCATTTGTTATTTCTACTGTTAACTGTGGTTATGACTTTATTACAAACATCCGTCAAGACCAGGCCTCCATTTCAACAGGTACCTCAGTAGTTATGCAATTAGTTCTTGAACTTGATCTAATCAGCTTACAATTACAGTAAAAAAGCCCCGCTCCAGGATATGACATCACAGGGAGGATCTTCTTGTGTTTACTGGCTGGTTTTATACCTGTTTCAGTTTCTTAACCAGTTAGGAAATCCCTGGTTACAGGATTTGTTGCAATTTGGCAGTTATTCACATAATGGCTTCTCTGTCCTTGTGCAGATGCTTCTTGCCAAGAATTTGTCTTGGGCTCTTTTAACCTTTCTCTCCACTGATGCAAAATCAGCCTGTCTGAGGAGGCAGTGACATCAGGAACCTAAATGAGGTGCCCCAAAAAGACACTAATCCTCTTTTTAAAAGGACTACATCCAAGGATTATTCTTAACCATTGCAAACATCAATGTTCACAGGATGCAATTTCACCCTAAAGTAAGTGTGCCATTAGTAGTGGCCAGATCAGGCAGCTGCCTGTTGGCACTGCCCATGTTGCCCGAGTGCCCTCTTTGCACAAAGACTGCTGCTACCCTCTCACACCGGTGTTACAGTAAGAGGTAAAGTAAAAGGAAATATACACAGCATAGCTTCAATCAGTCCATTCCACACCAGTTTCCTTTGGAGATCATGGCATTGAAAGGGGTTTTGTTATTTTGATGGTGTTACACAGGGTTTAGGTGATATAAGGAAAACATCAGTGCTACTACCTTCCAACTTTTAAAATCAATAGGCTGTGTAGCATTGTGAGCTTGCTATGAAATTACATAGCAACATGCTCAGATTTAATACTATAGCTAAAGAGAAGCCTAAAGCTTTATCTATTGAGAATGCTGATTGAGATTATCTTTTCATAGTAAAGGAAACAAACAAAAAAAGTAGCTGTAGACTATTCCAGGAAAAACATTTTGTAGCCTTAGACTTTTCTAAATACCAATTAGGATGTGTCACCAATTCTAAAGACATTTTTTTGTCTTCTGAATAGAGTATTTCTGTTAAATACAGATAAGTAGAAAATGTTACATTTATATTTTACTTGTAGCCCATGAAGCAAACCGGTTTCTCTTCCATAGATGCCAATTTGCAGTGTAGAAGATATTTTATCTCCTGGAAGATCAGTGAACCCAGCTACTGAGAAAAGGCCCACATGAAACCAGATTTGCCAGCTGTGCCAGCCCATGGCCTGCTGTGACTGCAGTGGCAGCCTCTGGGATCAGTGAGTGCTGGGTGTGCTCCCGTAGGACTGTACACAACAAGGCAGGTCTGGGCAGCCACGCTGAAAACAAGATCTGCTCTGGGGAATCTACACAACACCCATCCAGCTCTTGTTATAAGCAGCACATGGGGTGAAATGCAGTGGTACTTGGCTGGCAGACAAGTCTCTCCAGAAAGTAACTGTGCCATGGTTAAATGGTGGAAATGCAGGGCCTGGCATAAAGTTGGCTTCTGTGAAATAACTGTGGGATGTGAAAGAAAAACTATGCCCTCTTCCAGTGATCCTGTCTGGTGGACAAGCTTTGGAAAGCAAGAATTTGGAGAGCCCAGGCACCTCAGCTGGTGACTTTTGCTCCTGATGCTGTCAGTGACTCCTCATTCTGCTGGTGCCACAGGTAGGCTCTGTTGGACAGTTGCAAAGAAATTGCATCCTCCAAGCAGATTTTGCAGAAATGCAAAATTATTTATGAAGATTTGGACAGCCACAAAGCTGTCTCAGTTTTAAAGCCAGAAATAGAGGCAGTCATAGAATGATTAGCATTCTGCAATTCTTGAGATAAATACAAGAGAGCGGTTGCCTTGGTGTAAGGGCTAACATATCTAATACGCAAAAAAGTCCTTTTCACAACAGCCTGAAAAGGACCAGGTTTTCTCATGCATGCATTTCTACTGCCCATGCAAGGCAAAGAGGAAAAAAAAAATGTCTGTAACTATTGAGTTAGCAATATAACTCTATAGACCTCCCCAAAGAATAACATCCTGAAACTGGGAATGGTGTTTTCCTGTGAAACTGAAACTGGGTTCCTGTCCAGAGCAAAGTGAGATGACAAGTATCAAAATAAGATCCCTTAATGGCCTCCAGAAGCAAATAATTTGAGGTATGACAATTAAATGCAAACACTACTGTTAACTCAGAAACCAGATCTCTCAGCCACAGACCTCAAGAACCACAGACTTCTTGGAAAAGTGGGGCAGGACAAAGCACGGTTCAGTGTTTGTCATACCCCAAAGCATTTATTATAAGCCAGTTCTGGGCACATGTTCTCAATTCAAATGAGACTTTGGCCTGGTCTGGTATCACAATTCTTTTAAATTTTCACTAGGAAAATTTAGCCAAACTCAAACATGCCTAGAAGTTGCAACATATCTTCATGATATGTACTACTTAGATTATAGTTACCTGATAACCTTCATAATTAGCAAGCAATTCCTTCTGGTTCATAAGTAAGCCTTGTTCCTAACAGACTTTAACGCATATTAGTAGCCTAATCCTTGTTATTACACTTACACTGTGTACAAACACAAACTTTTGTCTGATACACAGGGAAAAAGTCAATAGTGTGATTATAGGTGATTGCCACAGCTAACCCATAATAAAAAATTAAGTCCTATGTTATATGTCCATGTGGAAGACATGGATGCTGCAGGCAGCAGCCTCTCTGCACAAAGAGGGCCCATTCGGTGTGCAGTGCCACAGCTAAAGGAAAGCAAAGTGTACTTGTGCTTGACAGGCAGTCTTCCAAAACCAGATTCTGACTCCAGCAGAGCACCAATGGCTCTTTGCAGCTACAATTATTTCTGTCCCATCTTTCAACTATGTCCTCATCTCTGTCTCTCTTAACAACTTTAAATTGTACAGAAATAGTAATTAAAACAAATATATGGAGCCACATAAAGAAGTGTACTACACTCTCACACTGGTTTTCTCATTCAATGTAATGCTTTTTAACAGTCTCATTTCTGGTGCTGTGTGTATCACACCATGTGGCATAGCTCCACTAACAAAATTATTTGTTCTGAGAGAGCATACATGCACAGGAGAGATAAAAACTCACTGACTCTCTGCTGTGACACTGGTAACTGGGTCCTGATTCTCAGAGAGAAAATAAAATGTGGTGCTCTCTTGCACACAATAAAGAAGGGCAACTGGACTGGAGAATGGATGAAGCAGACCCTGTCACCTAGCACTGCTTCTCCTGACTCTTTCTAGCAAAGACCTTCTTCCACATCTGGCTTTGGAAGCAAATCTCTAGTGTTACAGCTTCAAACCTGAAGTCAGGTAATCAATCATCTGCTCAAAATTAAGATACAGGATAAAGACTAATAAAAGATAAGCTGCTAACATAAATAGCTATGGATTTTTGGAAGTTCTATTGTACATAAAAATGTAAATATCATAATTTCCAACCATTATAAAATGCTGAGAAAGAAAGAAACATCCCTGATTTTAAGGCCAGAGGTACATGTTTGATTATCAGCTCTGCAGGTGGTTGTCTTGATGCTACTGCCTGTCAGGGCAGCTTAAAAATTCCCTTCAGGTGGTAACATGCCAGAAAACTGTTCAGCTGAGATAGAAATGGCAGAGGGGGAATTGAAACATCCTTTCACTTTTTTCTAAAGATTTACTGTTTTCAAGAAAAGGTCTCTGTGCTGGACACAATGGCAGAAATGCAAGAATTTAATAGGAATCTCCATAGAGGTAAATATACTTGCTGGTCTTATTTGATACTCAAAGGTTTATATTCACTTCCTTTCAAATTTCTTCATGACTTATTCTTTCTAAGTCAGATATTTGAGATATTGAGCTTTGTTTCTCCTGCCTGAGTAACAGCTGAGATTTTTCTATCTTCCACTTTTACCCATTCAACATCTTCAGAAACATTTCAATGGTACTTGGTTGTATTGAAAAGTCTACTTCAAATACATTTCAGTGCAATTTTGACAGAAAAATAAGTTGTTTGACAAGAAGATATACAATGCTCTTTCTACCTTTTCTTTTCTTCTAAGCAAAAAGAAATTTAAAAACTGCAACTGAAAATAACACCTGAATTTGTTCATCAGTCTGGCTCTGAACCTTGTTAGCAGTCAAAGTACTTTACAGTACACCACAGTAGACATTTGCTATTTCCGCTAATAATAGTAACATGCAATAAACCAAAAGGTATTGTTTATATAAAACTATTCAAAGCATAGTCCAAATTCAAATATGCATCAATATTTGAAATCATGGTGTCCCTTCATACACAGACACCAGTTACAGTGCCAGTAGCAAACACATGTTTTCTGCTTTCAGAACTGAACTACTAAAAAGTGCAAAGAAAAACTGTGATACTCACACATATCTGCTTTTCTTAGATTTTTCATTCTTATGATTTTCACAAAGAATGAACAGCAGGGACATTCATCACTCTGCAGAAAAATGAAAAAAGTTTATTACCTGCATTAATGTTAAATTGTTAATGGTTCATAAAACATGATCTCCCACAAATTCCTGTTGCAATTTTCAAAGCCATACAGCAAAATTGAAAGATTAACTGCTTGCATTCCTTTGGAGGTTAAAATCACGTCTGTATAGAGTTTAAAAAATTTTAAAAATGGAGAGAATAGTCTTCTGTGTATATATGTCATTGAGAAAAGAAATAATTTTTTGTGGCACCGTTTGGAGAGTGAGGCACCATCAGCACAGTGCAGCACAACATGAAAAAAAGCAGATGCCAGAAAACAGCTTTGGAAGAGATGTTAACAAAACTTCCCTACTCAAACCAGATACTAAATATTTGCAGAAGGATCATTAGCTGAAAAGTCAAATGCAGAAGGAAAGGCAAGTAACAGACCTGACTCAAAACAGTTATTAATTCTTGCAGATTTTAGTACCTGAAACTTTAGCTATTGCTTCACTGGAGGCATTTACTAGTTCCTCTCCCATTCTCTGCTTGCAAAATGACTCCACTGCATTCCTTAAGGGAGTTATGTCACTCTCTTTTTTCCAGTTAGGAATTGATCCAGGTGACAAGTTACAAACTCTCCTATCACTCTTAAATTATGATAAGCTGATCTTGGTCTGTTTTTTATGTCTAACTCCAAAAGAGAAGGCATGTTTTAATGTCTTCTGTCTGGGTTTAGGTACTCGGTGGAAAAAGTCTCCCCTCACCTCCCTATCTCTAAGAAGCCTCTACTTTTACTCTTAATGCTGTTTCAGTGGTTAAGGGAAAGAGCAGAGAGGACAGTCTCTTTCCTTGCTTTCTATCATACTTTTCACACAAAGACCATTGCCAGGTTTTGTTCAAAAAAGATTAATTTGTAGATGCTTAGTGTTTCTTTGACCAGACTGGTCAGACATTCACATGTGTTATTTCTTAAGCCATGGAGATGCCCCATTTGAGATCTGCAAGCATCAATGCACGTTTATTTCAACATATATCCATGTATATGAAGAGAAGCTCTGTAATCTTCATTATACAACCAGAGAAGTAGGACACAGAATAATCAAATAACTTGTTCATAGCAAACTGAAGGTGAATTTCAGAACTGAGGAGGAGACATAGTATGTTCTTTCCCTGGAACCCAACAGACAGTTTTAGTTCTTTCCCTCACACTTATGTTCCATCAAACAAATAAACAAACAAAAGACCCCCCCCCCACAACTTCTGAGAGAGATCAAGATTTTTTTTTGTGCATCAGTCATGGACAATATAAAACTAAGATCATCACTATTAATCACTGGTTTTAGGCAGTGACCCCCCCTGTGTGCATCACTACCAGGTGGCTGCTAGCACAGCTACCTGGACACCATATATGTTTATTGTCCCAGCTGGCAGATGCTGCACTGTGAAAAAGCACAGCTTATATAATGCTTGAGTCAAACCACAGATTCATCCCAAATTCACAGAAAGCTCCTGTGAGGCACTTCAGAATGATTCCCAGCCTCCATGTGAATCACCCACTGTGGCTGAACTTCACTACCAAGAGTGCCTCCACAAGGCAACTAACACCAGCAAAGGTATAAGTCATCCTTATATAAACAAGTAAATATATGTAAGAAATTAGAAATAAAAGTTCACAAGTCATCCTCTCCGCACCAAAATCCCAGCCACAATCCCATCCCAGGCCATCTTCAGCTCCTAGAGTTTTCACATCCTTACCTCACGAGCACTCCAGTATGAGCCCATCCTGCTCGCAGCTGCATACAAGTCAGAGATAGATTGTCACTTCACTGTCAGAGGCAACAGCTGTGATTCACAAACTACCTCTGCAAAATTTAAGGAGACACCTGCTGAGGAGCAAGTGGTTTATCCAAGCCCCACCTTCCTCATTGCCTGAAAGGGAAAGTATGAGAAGAAAAGGGGAGGGAGTTTGCTGGGTTTATTTGATAGCTAAATACCAAAGGTGTGTGTTTGAGGGAGGCTATACACACCAAGGTGCCAAGAGTTACCACCAACTCGAGATAAGGGGGTGATAACACACAGCACTAATGCATGGATATCTGTTCTAGAAGCCTCAGCAATTAATAAACCAGAGAAGATAACAGTAGCTACATGGAGGCACACAGCACTTCAATCAGCAAACAAAATTATCATAAATGAAATAACTTTAGAAGGATTTTTCTTCAACCAAATTGCATTTATTTTCCTTTTCTTGGAGATAGAGGGGCTAAAGTTGCTTACTGGTAGATGTTTCCCCAATTTAATTTGTATATTTGTTAGTGGGATATAAATTTCCTGCTTTCAGAAGACTTCCACAAACACAAAACATCAAGGTACACATTGATTCATCTTAAATGTTAACATTTTAATATTTCAAACCCAATGCAGTGTCATCCAATTATGATGTAAAAATGACACCAAAGTCTTCAAATTTCTGGCAGAAGATTGGGCAGCAGCAGATCAATAGCCATTGTATGGGTCTAGCTAGTAACATGCCAAGATATCTGATATGAAACTACCTTTTCGGAACTGCAGGAGGTGATACTATATGCTCAGAGCAGCCACAGCCTGTCTTCCCCTTCCACCCTCACACGTCAGAAAAATACACAATAGAGTAATTTCTGGCCTTACAACTTTTCCCTGAATGAAAATTACTTAAGTAAGCCACCATTTTAGGATTAGGAATCTACCCTCAATAACCTTTCAATTAAAGAGATATGAAAGCTTCTAAAGTGTAGCCAATAGGTTGAAGGAGGGGATTCTGCCCCTCTGGTCTTGTGAGACCCCACCTACAGCTCTGTGCCCAGCTCTGGAGCCCCAGCACTGGAAAGATATGGACCTGTTGAGGCAAGTCCAGAGGAAGGACATGATGTTGATGAGAGAGCAGGACCACCTGTTAATAGCCAGATTATGGAAAAATATATTTTCTGCTTAGGTAAACCATTCTCCCACATACCACCCCCCGCCCCCCCCAAAACAAAAAAAAATCCATAAAAACACACACACAAAACAACACAAAATACAAAAAAGAAAAAAAAAAAAGACAAAAAAAACCCCAACAAAACCCTCAATAAAACACAACAAAACCAACAAAACAACACTGAGAAGCTTTTGTCTGGATAGCAGGTGCCCACCAAAGTCACTTTATCATGCATACCCCATCCATTTCAGCTGGACAGGGGAGGGAAAACTTAATGAAAGGCAAGTGGATTGAAATATGGGCAGGGGGAGATCACTCACCAATTATTATCAAGTCAAAACAGGCTCACCTTGGGGAAATCAGCCTAATGTATTACAAATCAAATCAGAGTAGGATAATGAGAAATAAAACTTAAATAATGAGACATCTTTTCCCTACCCCACCCCAGCAGCTTCCCTTTCTCCAGTGTGGGGTCTCTCCCACAGAAAGCAGTCCTCCATGAACTTCTCCAGCCCGAGTCCTTCCCAGAGGCAGCAGTTCATCACAAACTGCTCCACTGTGGGTCCTTTCCATTGGGGTGCAGTCCCACAAAAACACACCCCTCCAGCGTGGATCCCTGCCAGCAAACCTGTTCCAGTGGGGATTCCTTTTTCCATGGGCCCACAGGTCCTGCCGGGACCTGCTCCATCACAGCCTTCCCACAGTGTCGCATCCTCCTTCAGGAATCCACTTGCTCCATGTGGTGTTCTCCAGGGATTGCAGGTGAATATCTGCTCCACCATGGGCCAAAAAGGGCTGAGAAGGACAGCCTGCCTCACCGTGGTCATTGAACAGCCAGTTACATAGTTATTTATCAATTGTTTAGCACAGGCATCAGGGGAATCTCAACTCCAAAGTTAGAGCACCTCCTCCTTCACTGACCTTCATATCTGCAGGCCTGTTTCTCACATGTTCTCACCCCTCTCTCCCACTGCGATTGATGTTGCACAGGGCTTTTTCCCCCAGAGGCAGTACAGCTGCCACCGATGGGCCCAGCCCTGGCCAGAGGTGGGTGAGGCTTGGAGCCAGCCGCCACTGACTCTGCTGGAGATGGGGAAGCTTCTGGCAGCTTCTCACACCGGCCACCCTTGTAGGCCTCTGCTACCGAACGCTGCCGTGCAGAGCTAACACTGAGGTAGGGAATGACTGCTGGTGGTATAACACCAGCCAGCAATCAAACTCCAAATAAGCCACCCCCCCACCCCCCATCCAGTAAGGGAGGGACAAAAGAAGACATTTATGGGTTGAGATAATTTACTGGAAGCAAAAAACAGTGGGATAAAAAACACACAGTAACAGCAGAAATATTAATAACAAAAGTATACAAAAAGAGGTGTTTTACCCAATAAAAAATGTGTTCACTAGCTCAATTTAGTACAAGGAAGGAAAAGGATGGGCCAATCTCTAGGCCTCTGTCACCTCTCCTACCCAAGGGTTTTCTCTGCAGGAATTCCCTCCACGGAAGTGCCGCAGGGCATGGAGCTGGAGAGAGCCCAGACATTGGCTGTCAAGTGCCTCTGCTTGAAGAAAATCTAATAGTAATGCCAGAACATGCACTTGGGACAAAAGTAATGTGAACATATGAGACACCATGCCAGTGGCTGAAAAGCTACTTTTCTAGTTTCCTTCAGATCATCTGAGATTTTAGGGTGCATCACAGATTCTGAGATGGGACATACAAAAGGTAACGTGGGCTGTACAAGACATCTACAGAGAGCTGTTTCCATTGTCTCATGAATACGTGTTTTCCAACCAGTATGAGGCTGGTAAAACCAGGAAGGAGCAGGTGTTCACCATCACTGAAAAAGCTCACAGGCAAAATCAGAGTATCTAATCCTGACAAAAATATTTCCAACAAGGAACAACAGTTGAGAATTGAAACTGCACCAGAGTTCCTCAGAGCCATCAGAATTTACAAAGCTGCTGAAATGCCCAGAACTTTGCAGTCATGGGAAGACTTTGACAAATATAATTATATCCTCCCTGGCAGGCATTAAGGAGTCAGTCATGATACCCATTTTGACAGTTCAGGAACCTTAGTTTGAGTTCATGAGTGGCTGCTCAAATAAAACAATGAGCAGGATTTTAGAACATAAGGCAGAAATTACCTATATATCTTGTTGGAAAATTTGTGGAAAGAAGATACTCTTGTATAGTTCTTGTGTACTTATTTAGGCTCTGAGGGAGTCCTGAAAGGCTTATCTTAGCTGACCCTTGACAAACTCCTATATGCCAGCATCTGCCCTTCTTTCACAATGCTTTTTTATGTAAAACCAGTAAAAACCAACTTCTTAACCAGCTCCAGATCTAGAAAAGAATACCTCTCTCTCCAGTTACCTCTAAGGAAGAATTCACCAGAAACACTTCTCTCTGCTGGACCTTTCTTGGCCTCAAGTGTGTTTGTGTTCTGTTCACTGTGATGCAGTGAACAGAAAATTGGCATCTTACTGCATGTCTCCAGTGCTCAATTACCATACCTCCTGCAATCCCCTTCACATGCTCTCTGATTTTGTAATGGTTCAATACACGGTACTGAGCAAGTTCCAGATGATGCTGAAGCAAAATTGCATTTCGGGGAGATAACTGCAGAACATATATGTGATCTGGGACAGGACACAGTTCACTGTGAGAGGAAATAGCAGTAGTCCTTCAAAACAATTTTTTAAAGTTTGATTTTATTTATAAGAATAGATTATCAAAGACCTAAATGGCCACTGATCTATATCTCTGTTGTCCAACACAAATTTTAAAAATTAAACATCCTTCATAAAATATTTATTTCATGACAATTCATGACCAAAAAGAAGGACCTGGGAACATACCTCTTTAAAGGTAGAAGGCCATTTCATTCAGGCTATTAAAACTAAATAAAATGTTTTAAATTGATACTGACCACCTTTGGTGTCTGAAGAGGGCTTTATGGTTTTTCTATCAATAGTCCAATGAAATACCAAAATATTTTGGATATGAAAAAATATTAGCAACTAGCCACCAAGAGATTGCAGACAAAGAGAGCTAATGCTATTTCCCTATCACACACAGCTGAATCTTCATCTTTTGAACATCACAGTGAGAAGGTATTAACAACAGAAACTGCTGAGTTTAATACCACAATTCTGGATAAGATTGAGAAGATTACTTAGAAAGCCATGGCCCTTGTCAAAATGGTGAAGTATTTATCACATGTATGCTGTCTCAGTAAATGCTTAGTAAGGAACAGAGAAAAGCTGTTCAAGCAGAGGGCTGTGCCTGTGAGGGCTGGCTCAGGGCTTGTTTCTTCCGTGCCACAGCCATACGCAAGGCCTGAAGAATCATGTTCTCGTTGTTCATTATGTTGTAATGAGCCAGCTTCAGAAGCTTGTTGAAATCTTCTGCTTTCAGCGAGACCTCCCTGGTTGAGTATGGAGAGGAGAAACTGGAGATATCAACTTTGCCCTGTTCCATTTCAGCAGCAGTACGTAACATGCCTGTCAAGGAAAAAAAAAAGGAATGTGTTTGAATAGTCCCACAGAAATACCATAGTCTGATAGGTCAATAATAACTTGGAGAGATCATAAATGCAATTACTATGAAGGTAAGTGCAGTGCTGTGATCTCTGAGACATCTGAGCAAAGCCTATTGGAATAAAACAAGTGTCATTTCCTCTGCAACCACCACCATCTACTGGCCAGCTCATAGCACATCATTTTGTGCGGTCACCACCGCTCAAGGCTGACTAGGCAGGTTCTTTGTTGCAACACAAAAGGAATAAAGGTATACGGGACAGGAGGAAGCATAATATTAGTTGGCTTGGAAATAATTTTTAAAGGAAACTCTCCATCTCAAATGCTAATCCAGAAGGACACTTTCTATATGATTGCTTTGATATTCCAGCATATTCAACCAGCATATTTAATGGCCTAAATAGAAGGCACCGTGACCCTTCACAGAACCATTCTATACTGTGATTCTCACCTAGAGTGTCTCACCTGAGTGTCATAAAACCACACATAATTTGAAAAATATACTTTGTTCTGTTCACTAATGTAAACTCTCAGAAATTACAAGAGATCAGTTTCCATTCCTCTAACTGAGGAACACATTTCTTCTATTTCCTGAATTGCACCAAGACACAAATAAAAATATGCACAAGATTTCACCTGATTTTGAAAACTGTTTGAATCATCCCATTTTGCAATCTATTCACTAGTTTGAACAAGCAAACAGAGGGAGGCTCTATTGGGTTGAGGGAAAAACACCCAGGGAGTGGGAATGTTTCTTGAGTCAATAAAGTTACCTGGGTACTGTTAACTTACCAGGTGCTACGTATCTCTGAAAACTGTCATTCACTAATGGAAAATAAACCAGCAGAGGAGCTCCTGGGGTGTCTGCACCATCGAACATGTAGCACTCTTTCAGGTTATTCTCATCATCCATCAGTCCAATGCAGGGAAATGGAATTTCCTGCTCTGCAAAGTATTTGCAAGCCTGCTCCAGGGGCTGGTCAACAGCAGCAGCACAAGGAATAGAAAAGATAGCAAAGATCAGACTGCTGCCAAAGCCCAGCAGTTCATGCAAAGTGACACAAAACAGTTTGATAGTCAGACAGCAGAAATAATGTGGACACCTGCAGCCCCAAGGACTGCTTTCCAGTTGCCTGAGGAACCATTTGGAAATAGTCTTCCAGGAAAACCCCTAATATCAAGATGGCAAAGAGAGTTTAAACCTCTACTAAGGCACATCTCTAAAAGGAGAATATGATGTAGAAACAGAACAGATAAATTGAAATCATGTTATAGATCATTAATTAAATGAGAACTGAGTGAGATAAAATGTGGCTCTAAGAAAAACTAAATTTGCAATCTAATACAGTAGGATTCCCAGTCCCATTATCTGTTTATATAGCTGGATAACTTGTGAGTTTACCTCAGTAAACTTTAGCAGTTCTTTAAGACCAATCTACCCATATCTATAACTTTGAATATTAGAAATAACATGAGAATTTCAAATAACATGCTCTAGGCCTCAAAATACAGCACTAAAAACATTAACCAGAAAGCCCATTTGTGGTGACCAACTTTGTTAAAATATCTAACAAAAAAGTACCACCTCATTTTGATTTATGTCCAAAATATTTCAGACTACAAGAAAGATATACAGTTTAAGATATTATCATTTCCACTGCAGCACAAATGCAAGTATTTTTCATGTGTAATTGCATCATTGAAATGTCTTCCACTTGAAAAACTGACAGAGCCTTAACCACTGAACTTTGTGCTTTTTGGTGTGTCCCTCAGGGACAGGTTTACAATTACAAGTCCGTTTTATATTTTGGAGTCTAAAACTGTCTATTTATGTGGTAAATTCTACTTTCAAAATGTATAGAACCATCTCAAACAAATTAGATACCTGCAGGAGCAGTAAATGCATTTGATACCTCACTTCAAGTCCACTATTTAGGGAGAAAAAATGTATTTATTAAAAGAGATAAAAATAGGGAAGAAGAAATCTATTTCTCATTAGGCTGTTCTTCCTAGAAAATCAACATTAAAATAATTTTTTTTTAAAGCGTACCTTTATAAGCAAAATTGATTGAATCACAAAAGTTTCCCAATTATATTTGTGCTGTTAAATATTATATATAAGACTATAATAGACATTGCAGCTAGACTTTCTTAACTTCACTTTGCCTGTCTGTATTTCACTGGTGAAGAACTTAGGGATATTTCAAAAGTAAATTGAGAAAAATACACATATTTTCCTCTCTAGAAATTTCCATTCTTCTTCTAAGGTTTGAAAATAGCATGTTACTAAATTCCATTAAGTTCCATGCTTCACAGACACCTGTTTGAAAGTAGTGGAAAGCAAAGCGAAAGCAGTTGGGAAAGAAAATCAGTTTTGAGAATTCTTACCAATGTCTGTGATCCACCTGTGTAATTTAAGTGTATGATGACATCCACTTTCCGCTCTGGTCTCATAACGGGTGGGTAACTGGTTTCAAAGAAGAAAGCTGCATCCACCAGCTCCAGGTGTTCTGAGTTGCCTCTCAGGTCATTGGGAGAGGTGTCTAGCAAGGTGTCTAAAGAGTGGAAGATTCAGAGCTATTAGCAAACTGGAAAAGACATGTCAAGTTAGAAGGCAAAAGGAAGGTGAGCTTCCCTCCCATCCAGGATTTTCCCTTTGCTTTAGGGTGGGTAACATGCAGCAATCCTACAGCTCCTTCAGCATGTCCACTCACATTTTGCTGTATTTCTAAACCCACGAACTGCACCTAAACCTACACAGATGTTGCATTATATGCAGAGCCCCACCCTAGCAATTTTGATTCCTGTGAGAACTTTGAGTACCCAACAGCTAAATAATTGAACTTTGTCTTACTGAAAGGTGTGAGGAGATCCTTCATTCTCCCTCCTCTCAGTGAGCATGAACAGGTAACCACAAAACCCACACAGTTCTCTTCAGGACGTGTAAATGTCCCTCGCTAATTCCCAGCCCCTGTGCCTGCCCCAAGGAGATACGTAGGCAGGAGAGCCATCCACACCTTTCCATTTTGTGAAATGTTCATCCTGGATGTACTCATTGTGCATCTGGAAACCCCTTAGGAAGTTGTGGTACTTGGAGACAGCAGGGCGATCCGTCAGGATGTCCCGGAGCGTTGTGGAGAGGCCGCTCGTAGGAGTGAAAATGCACGTAGCCATCTCATACGGCTTCTCAGGCAGGTCTGGTTGTTCCTCTGGAGATATACAACATAAATGGCATGAAATTTAATTATAACCAGAATTAAGCAGAGGAAAGACACAAAGAGGAGCAAAGGTCAATGGGTCTTCTGTAATCGTGTTCACAGCTCAGCATTGCATTGTTTTCCTTACGATCTGCTGTGAGATCCAGTTAATTTTGTGGCAAAAGTATAAACTTGTGTTTTCTAAACTCTGGTTGGTTACACATGATGAAAAGAATATTTTTCTCATAAAACAGCATGATTTTGATACACACTGAAGTAATTCACTTTTCCAAGCAAACAACAAACAGGGAAAAAATAATTTTGTTATTACATTTTAAGGAATTACTGCTTTTAGATTCTGTGTAGGTTAAATATTACATTTAAAGCTGATTTTGAAAACTGTAGAAAAATTTCAGCATTTTACTTTCAAACTAAATACTTTACTTTTAAAAAGCTAGGTTGTTCTATTTGGTTCAGTTGTGGACACCTGAATTCAACAAAACTTGCAAATTATTTATATAAACTCTAACATAAGACTTTGGGGTTTTTTTTTATGAAAATACAGTTCACAGAAATGTGGCCCAAGTCTGTTTATTGGCTTTGCTTGAATTTTGCTATGAAGATGTTCATGAGTATTTCTAAGGAATGGTCTTTCAGTATGGAGCTGCTTCTCTAAGCTCTAAGCTCCAACACATTGACCTTGTTTGACATCTACTAAGTTTCAATTTAGTCAGCTTTTGAGGGAGGGATGTTCTGTGCAGGGGAAGGCGATATTGAAACAAACAATCCAGCTTTTCCTGGCTAACAAATAGATGACATGGGCCTTTGACACAAGTATTTCCCTGCCTTTTAAGGACAACACTTCGGGGACCACCATATGTGTCCATCCCTATCTCCTTTATATCAGGGCCTGTCTGTTTGTGCCTTTCATTCTTGTCACAGTCTCACTGTTTAAGCAAAGCACTGACTATTCAGTAAAATCAAATAACTTCATTTTTCTGGTATGTCCCATACCCAGAGACTGAGAGAAACAGGATGACAGAAAAGCTCAAAAAATGGGAAATGTGAGTGCAGTTACCATACCAGAGGGATCTGCAAGAAGGTATTTTGCTTTACCTATTTCAGTCACTTTGTCTTGGGTCCACCTGTTCCAGAAGTCTTCTGAATTGTCAGATGCATGCCAGGCATCCAAAAGATTTTTGGAGAAGATACTACTCCACATTCCTAGAAAGTGGGAGAGGTATAATAAGCAATGCAGATGTAAACACAAATTCTTTAAAAACTGCCTTCTGCTCCTTTCACAGTTCTTCTCTAACTTGTTCAAATTTATATCCAATTTTTGCATGAGCTCAGACATCTATTTCAGTAGTAGACTCCAAAGGCAAACCTATCTAGGCAAACTTATTTCAGAAAAAAAATCCAAGTCTTTTCCCTCTCACCATGTTTTGCCTGGAACTTTTTTTTTTTTTTAATTTTATAGTCAGGTTTCATATTTCTATTTTCATTTCCTTTTTCCAAGAAATATTTTCAGCCAGCTCCTTCTCTGATTCTCCTCTTTCTCACTCCACTGATTTCTTTTCAACATTTTATTTGGCTTCCAGAGAGTATCATTGATTTCCAACTTTGAAAAGTTTTTGCAAGCTACAGGAAATAATGATGCCTCAAAAGCACTCACAAAGGTACATGACAACTAATTTGCCATTTTAGTTTATTTTTATCTTAGACCAAATGATAAAACCACCTTTGCTGGCAAGGGCAGTTGAATGAGTCTCAGGATACATAGAATTGTATAATATCCTGGGTTTGAAGAGATGCAAGGATCATCAAGCCAACTCCTAGCCTTGCCCAGGACAACCCCAAGAATCACACCTTGTGCCTGAAAACATTGTCCGAACTCTTTTTGAGCTCAGGCAGGCTTGGTGCTGTGACCACTTCCCTGGGGAGCCTGTCAGCTGACTCACTCTGTGCCTCTGCTGCCTCATACTAACAGGCTCCTGGGCACAAAATCCCGAATCATTAATGTTTCTATTAAAATCTTGTCACTCCCCCAGACTGGTGAGTTACCTTGCATGAAGCAGATTCGTGACTCAGGGAGTTTCTTCATCAGGCGACCCATGAAGAACTCGCTGCCAAAATCCTCCGCACGAATGAAGGCACCATATTTCAGGAAGCCCACCTCGTACGGCGTGAACTCCACCCACTCTGCCAACACATGCACCAAGGTTAGCTCCACTATAGAAAACAGCCCAGTTGCCAGGTTTGGAATAAGCCTCTCAGACGTTGGCTCTCACAAGAAGACTGGCTTAGCATGTGTCCTGAGCAAACCCTGCCAACAGCCACTGCTGAACCAGCCATCACACTGTCCTCAGGTTTGGGAAAGAACTATGTCAGGGCTGGAGAAAATTCAAATTCTTCTTTTTATTTGGTGTGTACGAAGTTTTCTCATGGAAGGTGGACTAGAACTTGCATTGACTTCTATTGCCTTTAGCCAGCTATAAGAAACAGAGTAACAGAATGATTTGGATGGGAAGGGACTTTAAAGATCATCTAGTTCCCATCATGGACCAAAACATATGCTCAGCAAACTTAAAGCTCTAGTGAATCACTTTCTTGAAGAATTCATATAATTTCTGAGACTTTGTCACAGAATTATGTTGTGTTATTAGTCTGAAGTTAATACCTGAAAATACACATGCCAAGAGATCTTACAAAATACTCAACTCTTGATGCATATCATGTGCCTGCTCAGTTACTCTTTATATTTCTGAACACTGCTTTTCTGGGCTTGGAGTGAGAATTTAAAACAATTCATCATTGTTTACTGTATCCCCACAGTGCCTCTCCCTGGGTGAAAATATAGCTCTTTTTCACAATTGAAACATTACCTCTGAAATCTTTGGTGGCAACTTTGTCCTTGACATTAAGGGCAAGGTAGATGGGCAGTGGGTTCTGACCTTGGTTCACTGCCTGACGTTGATCAGAAAGTCTGTGGTGGCTTTTCTGGATTTGAAAAAGAAAAAAAAAAAAAAAAAAAAAAAGGCAGAGTTAGCTTATAATCAGTTTCTTAAAAGCATCAGCTTATAAAGACTAAGACATCATTTTCCTGAATTTGCTCCTAAATTTATTTTTTCCATGTGCTTGATAACAGAGGACAAGAAAGCAGGAACAATTTCTGTTAAACTAAATGACCATGTTCAGCTTTGAGTATACAATGACAGCAGTGAATCACTTCACATTCTGTTCTAGCTTTGTATGGTTAAATGTAATTTAGAATATACAGCATATCTGAGTAATTCAGCTGTTATCATATAATCTGTTAATGATAGGAGTTCTTCAAGGCAGCATGTTAATGATACATCCAATCAAGACTTCTTTTTTCACATACTATATTGAAAGTTAAAATCCACAGAGGAAAAATTCTTGAGCTGTACAATACTAGCAACTTATACACAAAATAGAGGTTTTGAGTATACTTCAGCCAAATTAAATTCTAACAAATTTTGCTATGTAGCACTTAGCCTGGAAACACTGTGTGAAATATGATATGAAATGAGAGTATTTATCTGTTTCGTCTAGACAAAAATAAACCATGTTTACAGAAATTGGAAATAAAATAGCTTTTTTTCCAGCTATCATCTGCCTGGAGAAAGTTCAGAAAGTTTTTGCGTGTATCATTACAATAAAATTAGAAATTGAAGATCCTGAGAGATCAAATTCAAAGTAGCTGAAGGGCACCCACTGCAGCTAATATGTCACATCAGCTCTGGATCTATATACTTTCTTATTACTAAGTCACAAACTGCTGGACATAATGGATACATCTGCAGTACATTTAAGTTAAGAGTGCAGCTTGTACTCTTAACTTAAATGTACTGCAGATTAAACGTTGCAGCAGAGGAGAGATAAATGCATAGGGCCATAAAAAACACCTAAGGACCTTAAAAATTTCTTGTACAGCTGTAGTGTTAATCAGCATTTTGCTTACTTTAGAGCTAGTCTGAGCATTTCTGGTACATTTAATCACACTTCAGGCTCCAATGTAGACATACTACTGTCTCCAAGTTATTAATGTAAATAAGTGGTGTTCTGCCTATGCACCAGCTACAGTGTTACTGACCGGGTGCCTTTTCCTAGGGCTCTAGTTTCTTGTAATGGTTGTAAATATTAAGTCAAGAACTTTATGAGAAAAAAGATGTATACACATTACCCCATCATTTAACATGGCTTCAATCATGAGCCCCCACAGATCAATAAAAGATGTTTTATGTCCTGCTTGGGTCCTTTGGCTCAGCTCTCTGTAATAATTCCTCAGACTTTTCAAGGAAAAAGCCCCCATCTTGCACTTGGCTGCTTGCTTCCGTGCTTCAATAATTACTTCCCCAAGATCCTTACGTGACCAATCAGCATCTTCATATAGCTTTGTCATTGTCCTGCAAACAGGAAACATGATGGAACAAGGAGAAATTAACAAGATGCTTTTGAAACTCAGAAACCCTGTAGAGTTTTGGATGTATATCATTTTATCTTTTAGTTACTCTTCTCTTTGAATTTACTTTGAGCAGAAATGAAAGTCTAAGGGCAGACAGGCTAAAGTCAATTAATCTGAGATGCAACACAACAGCTGTCAATGCTGTCTCTGTCTAACAGTAAATAACAATAAAAGAACATTTTCCATAGGATTAAGGATGTTTACATTTCAAAAAAAGTCTCTTCTTTTGGTTAGGGATAGGTCATGATGCACAATAATTCTTTCATAGAAGACTCATAGCCCAAAGATGGAAGCAATAACTCCATTAATCACCTTTACCCTTTCTGAATCAGAGAGAGAACAGAGGCTTTTCTTAACACAGCAAGATCCAAACAACAGTATCAAAATGACTCCTCACCATGTTGTGCCAGATGAACCACTGATGTATGAAACACAATCCAGAACACGCAACTTTTGGAGACCCAAAATGCTACCATACATGGCAGTGAGTGCTCTTATGCCACATCCTGCTGTGGTCACAGCCACTATAGGCACCTGTTTGACACAAAAAAGAGCAGAAAGCATAGATAAAAGAGTGGCATTAAGGCACAAATAATGTCAAAAGATTACAGAAATGCAAAAGCAGCATCCAGACACTAGTAAGATAAAACACAGAAATTAAGAGATGAAGAAACATTTCTCTGTACTGTATATCCCAGTGGAACATACTAGGTCTTGGCACTTCAGACGGGATTTTTAAGAAACACAGACCAAACTATTGGTTTGAAATGCCTTCAAATAATTCACTTGTAAGCTGAATGGAAACACAGATTTTGCTCATCTAAATAGACAGTTGAACTCTCCAGCTGAGATCACACTGGTGGCAAAGTGCCCTGGAGGATGAGCTGATGTTAATCCTCACTCCTTATCCAGATGGAGGTAAAAAAATCATCCCTCATCTCCAGGCTTGAGGGAAAGGAGAGAGAAAAATCCCCCAAAAGTGCCCTTAACTAGTTACCTCATGCTCTTGCAGGTCTTCCTCCAGATGAAGAACATCCTTTAGTGCAGCAGCAACTACCTTCCTTCGGTTTTGCAGGAAATTCTGTTCATCTGTGCAGAGGTCAAACCCCAGGCGGGCATCAAGGTTTCTTGGTCTGAAACACAGACCCTGAGTCCTGAGACCAGGACACAGGTATTGTTGTACTATTAGTCACTGTGGACAACTCCAGCTGTGCTTGTGTGTGTTTACAGACCGGTTTGTAGACAGTATAATATAATAAATGGGGAAAAAACAACACCACAGACGGGCCTCTGCTAATTGCTGTAGCTGGAAATGAGAATGAAAATAGGAAGGCAGAGCAAATCATGACACACTCTCCATTATTGTATCTACTACAGACTTCTGATTTTATTTGCTCATACAATTAATTTTTCAAGTTACAGTAGTGCTGCCATGCATCCTGTAACTAGATAACCACTGTCAACAGGCACTGCAGCTGTGCGATTAGAGAAACAGCTACTTATGCCTTAAAGCTATTTTGTTTGTATAATTAAGAAATGTGATTTCTTTGTGGAGCTGCCTTCTCAATTTCTGTTCATAACAGTGCACACAAATCATGACCTGCTGCTGAGATGCGCTAGCAGCTTGAAAATTTGGAGGACAGGGGACCCATGATTTAATTTGCCATCAATTAAAAAGGAGAACCTCACAAATAAAAGCCTACAACCCATAATGAACTCACATATCTGCTCCCATCTGAGCCTGCATTGACCCCTGCTGATTTCAAATGTGCTGTGTGTAGGAGCAGATGCCTCACAGTTACAGAATCAGGTCCTACTTACCATTCATTTGCCTTTGTGTACAAGTCAATTGTCCTGTCCTGAAAATTGCAATACAAACAGTGTAAGCATGCTGAGGTTGTTACTCCTGCACCTCCCTCCCCCACTCCATCTAGGGCCTGAGTTTCACTATCTTTGAATTCAACAATGTGGCTGTATAATCTGGGCAGCAATGATCTGGACTGGGAGAGACCTTCACAAGTTCCAGCACAGTCTGGGTTGAATAAAAGTAAGCCATTCACGCAAACTAGATGGGCTTAGGGCCCCTCAGCTTCTCATAGTTTAACATTCATTATTTGGGAAGGTTGTTGAAAGTTGGGCATCTGAACCATATCTACTTTATCTTCTACTTCAGGCATTTGCTTTGCAAATATAAGTCCTAATTGTCATACTGTTGGGGTGCATACTATGTTGATGAACAGACATATTTGATATATCTTGAGGAAGCTAGTTTAAACTCAGAACAGGGTTTCACAGGGCATGCCTGGATCCACTGGAAAACAAAAGAAAAAGTAACTATTGTATAGTTGCAGAGCAACTGTCATTCATATCTTACACCATAGCATGCCTTGTATTTGACAGGAACTGAATCACTGAGCTCTAAGACTAATCATCCACCGAACTGAATGCCTGTTGGGCTGTTTTCTGTTAAGAAAGACTTGTTCTCACCTCTCCTATTGCTATTTTCTCTTGTATAGGAAGCAAGTTCAGAGGTATAGTCACAGATTCGTTCATATCCCTTTCATTTTGACTTGATATAGACTGGAAAAAGGGGTAAGACAAAAAATAAACAAGTTACCAATTTGACAGAAAAAAAAAAAAAAAAAGGAGAGAAAAAAGGTAAAAGCAGTCTCCCCTGTCTCACATACACGCACTAACCAATTCCCAGCACACACAGATCTGCACACACACTCAGGTCTTGGCAGTCCCCAGTGGAAGAGCTACATGTTAGTGGTGCTCACATACCCTGCTGAGCCGTCTGCGCCGCGGCAGAGCCACAGTGAGCGCTGACTGGTTGTACTTGATGTAGTGGAACCTGGCCGGGGACGTCGGGCACAGGCAGGAGCTCAGCGTGTGCATCTGGGTTCCTTCATACGACCCGTCCACAGTTAGTGCAAACTTTCTCTCTGAAGAAAAGGTGTTCAAACTTAAGCTCTTCAAAAAATGTGGATCATTTGTTTACACAGTAATGTAATATGTTTTCCTAAATTACCAACATCAATTTGATACCCAAATTATAGGAATAATAAATAATCTGATTTGTCTGAGTGTTTCCATTTTAGAGATGGTGTACAGAACGTGTCATATAGTGACTGTTGCTATACCACCACTGCACTTAGAAATATACATGATGGCAGAGGCTGCAGCTCTGTTCATTAGGTAATGATTCACAGCCAGTAATGGTTTGGGGGGACACTCTCTTCTGAAAGTCTGAAATGTGCAAAATACCTTATTATTTCACCAGAATAATATTTTAGTATTACATACTGTCTTATTGTTGAGATACTTTGAAAACTTTGGACTTTTGGGAGAAACACTTTTGTATGAGGCCACAATTCTCTTTGGTATCAGTTAAATCTCAGTCCCTCTATCATGCTTCTCTTTCCTTCAACCTATAATATTTCTTTTGAAATATTTCTAGCACTTAAAAAATAATGTCTGGTGTTTTTTTCCTTTCATGCAAAAAGCATCCAATATGTCTGTTGAAGTAATAAAATATGGCCTTTATGTAGAAAGATATCAGCCCACAAGGTTCAAGGTGAAATATATTCTGTAAAGATACACACTCCAAAGGATATAGTCAGCCTTTAAAAGAATTACCTCACTTAAACATTCTCAGTCACATCTGGCAAACTTTTTCTCTGAGCTCAACTGGATCATCCAGGTGCTTAAGCAGTGTGCTGGATTGGGGTCAATATGAGATGTCAGAAGAAAGTACTTTAAAAATTGCGTAGGAGGCACACAGTTCTGCAAGTATGGGCTTGACATGGCATTGATACGCTGCTTTAAGTGTGCAGCAAATGTCTTTGTGTCTTGTGCTTCACCCAGTGGCGTGTCTTATATGGTTGTACCTAAAGAAATTCTATGAAGTTCTATGAAGTTAGGTGGTAAAAGAGGCCCAGTTCTCATTCTGCCCATTACTTTGTCCCAGAATCCAGAGACAGCAGGAGTTAGCTTCAAGTTTAGGACCAAAAAAACCTCAGTTCCTTGCACAACTGCTTTGGAAATTCGTAAATATCTGACAAGACGTCATTGCAGAGGAAAATACTTTGTGGGGAAATTAGACTATGTGCTCATGTCACCAAATTCAGGAATAATCTGTATATTTTTGATTAACTACAACCACCTCCACAGGCCACTGGCATGAGTGAGATTTTGTCTTGCATCCTAACTAATTTTAAAACCAGCATGCTCAAGTGTAAAATACTGAGTACATCTGCCATTAAGTGGCAACCTGTTTTGCTCCCTAAGTCAGTGAAAGGCTCACCCATAGCGTCCTTCCTCAGCCTCCCGTCATTCACCTGCACGTCCAAACAGGAAACCTCACGAGACTGTAAGAGACAACCAGGGCAAGAGACAAGGGCATTCACTGTCAGCAGAGCTTGACCTCATCCAGTCCACTGGACACATACCCGCAGGGCCATGGGAGAGGTGGTGCCAGCCTGTAACCCCACTACCAGGTCTAGGGAGATGGGATTGGACTTCCCCATGGGAAATGATAGAATGCATAGAGATGAGGAAAGAGAAGGGATCTGCTTGCTCTGCCTGAAGGAGTGTCCCTGCAAGGGCCTGAGGGAGGATCAGCCACAGGAGAAGGCTCTCCAAACAGGGTGCCCAGCTCTCCTCAGGCAGAGGGAGGCATGTCATACCCCTGAGCCCAGCTCACTTAAGGCAGAGGTGAGCGCTGGTAGTAGGTCAGTGTCTTCACCACTTTAACCTCTCCCAGCACTAGTCACTAGCTGGGACCACGTGAAAAAGCCAATGCCAGCACCAGCTTTAGGCTGTGTGTGTTGGTCTTGGTCAATGCCTCCATGCCACCACAATGGCCTGGTACCTTTAACACCAGCTTTGCAGCAAGCATTCCAATACAGAAGGGAAAAGGATTATGAAATAAAAATTACCACTAGAACTCCATTAGTAATAATGTTTTCAGGAGGATCTGGACTGAAAAACAAAATGGAAAACAATCAATTCAAAATCAGTACGGTCTTATTTTTCTCTTTTCCTGACTCTTCTTTAAGCATTATTTCATTATCTTTTAAAGATAAAGTCTATCTTTGGACAGGCAATATAGATAAACAGAATCAGAAATTCCACATGCATATTCAATCCAGTTTGCCTCTCAGAGGTTAGAGTCTGAATTTTGCAACGTTTGTGGACATCCAAACAGAGGAATTCCTCACTGTATTAGAGAGGATCATTTTCTGACACACTGAAGATGATTTACACAGAGATGGCATAATGATGCTGTTGGCCAAAATTGTTCAGTTCAAACCTGTAGAATTGGAGCTAAAAAGCTGCTGAATTCATCCAACATGCCATAAAAAAAAGGGGGGGGGGGGAGGAAATTGCCATTTGCCTTAAAAATCAGCAGCACTAGGACTGATCTACATGTTTTTTCTCTCCATTAACTGTACAGCCAGTAAAGAAACACAGGAAAAAAACTTGTTATGACAGAGCAAACATCTGGAATCCCACAGTAAAGAACAAGAGGAGAAACTTAAAACTTCCTCCTATGTAGAATGTGCCTTTCAGCTTGATGAACAGCTGCCATCAGGGATATCTCTGTGCTCCCACTAGCACCTGTGCTTGCTTCTATGTGTGTCTGGATGCCCAGTGTAGATGCATGCATACCATGCACCATCATGCATTCTTTCTACATTAAACATTCTACCCAAAGTTACCTTCTGTTTTATGCAGATGTTGGCAGTGTTAGGGGACTCCAAGTGTGAACTGATTTGTAGCAGTACCCTTGTGTTTCCATCTTACCCCTCCAGCTATTTCATCTTACACACCTGCTCTCCATTGTGAATTCAACCTCCAACTCCTCTTTTCCCTGCAAAAGAAAATTAAGGCAGTCACCACAACTTGGTCTTCTTTGGAGAGAGATATCCTACAGGAATCTATGCCCTTCAGGGGTCTCTATAAACCAGTGTCCACCTGTTGCTTCACATGCCACAAACCTAATTTTCTTCATGTTTTATCTGTTATACTTCCAGTATCACATACTCCTAGCATCTTCTCTATTAATTTAGCAGACTCCTCATGTAGACCTTGCAGGACAAGTAGAATCCATACTGCAGGGCCTCTTGGTGGCTGCTCCCCCCTGCTCCCTCTTGGCCTGCTCTCCACACAAGCAGTGAGAACCTGACCACACCCTCTTTGCTTTGTCCTAGAATCGTTGAATTTTATCCATACCTGTGGATTCAGCTGGAAACTTAGCTGAATGTTTTCTCCAAGCTGGATTTTGGAGACATCAAAGAAAACAGTGAGGAGATGGTCATCTTCAGTTACTTTGTCCTCATCACAAACTTTAAGCTCCAGAATGTTCTGGGGGAAAAAAATAAATATGAAAGGTTTAACAAATGTAACATGCTACAGATATTTCATTTTAGCAGAAGAACCTTGGGAAAGAATGACAAAATAGAAATATTGAAGTTGCTCTCTGTGTACTCTATTGACTATGCAGGCAGATATAGTCTTATCAAACCATAAAAACCTAAATAAGTACAGAAAATGAGTGTTAATACTTCACAAGAGATCTCAGAAGGACTTGCTGAATTGAAGGACTATACAGTATGCTTGATAGCTGCTAAGAATAGCTGTTGGAGGCGTCTGCACACTTACCTTAACCTGGCTCTGAATCGTGAAGTGGAAGGTCTCATTCCATGTTGGGTTCTTGCTGTTCTGGACAGTCTTGGTGCGGAAATGCTGCACTGAAGCTGTTGGCAGGCTCAGGCTCACATAGCAATCAGATTGACTTACTGTTGAAGACAGGGAAAGCAGCAAAGCAATGGTCCAATGCAACAATCTAGTCCCCTGTAAGGTGGGCATTTTTAAGCTCTGTACATAAAGTACACAGAATTCTGGCCTGGCACTAGCTAAGGTACCATCAAGCTGCTGCTAGAAAACCATCTTGCTTTACTATTGTAAAACACTGTCAGGATGGTGTTCTTGAGAACTACTTTTTTACAAGTCCTGGGGAAAAAAAAAAAAATATCAAAATACCCAGCTGTGTTGCTGAAGAGCCATCCATACACATAGGGGCACATACACATTGTGGCCTCACAGGGCTGGCCACCATGGACATTAGCAGCTGTGACAGGGGCTGCACATGGACAGAGCCCAGCTCCTACACACTGGACTTCCACAGGTAAGCATGAACATGCCTTTATATGTCTAGAGTAGGTCTGGCTGTAAGTTCTGTCTTTTCAGATTTCTGAGCATCCTTTCTTTCCTCTAGGACCTCTGACTGCAGAGGAGGCAAGAACTTGTTGCATTCAAGGTTCCCATTAAGACAAATTTCTGTCACAGAAGGCACATCTTCTACCAAGGCACATGATTTCAGTCTGCTTTCTTCCCTTATGGAAGTCACTAAAGGAAACACTCAGCAACAGAGATTTTCAAGAAAATATAAGGAAAAAAAATCCAAGAAAAGAAGATTTCTTAAGCAACAGGTATTGCTTAATGTCACTATTTTCACCTGCATCTCTGTGCCTCAGCCAGAGTGGCAAAGGTATTTGCAACACTTCATGTACAGGTGGAAGCTTGTCTGTTCTTTCCAGCATTGGGAAGAGCGAGGTGACATTGCTTCTTTGTACAAAATTGTATTGCTCTGCTGTTTCCATTTGAGGCATGTACAGGTTGTAAAGTTCACCCATTTCTTTTAATGTTTCCAGATGTAGGGAAGACAGATTTAGCGGGTTTTCTTCCTTTCTCAACTGAAGTGGCCAGTTGTAAAGTGTGACTTCTCACCTGAACTCCATGTAGGAGCTTTTAGTAAGAAGGAGTGGTTAGCAGCAGTCTGCAGAGCTTGCATCATCAACAAGCACTTTCATTCTGAGGTCAGAATAATCTAGTGGCAAATATATTTGTCATCATTATTAGGAAATAAAAAAGCAAGCATGAATCACTAGAGTAACGATCTTGTGGACCCACACTCAAAAGTCAGGGATGGTCACCCTACAAAACGTGATCTTTTAGTTAGGGATGACAACTTATGCAAGTGCCAAAGAATTGCATGGGGAACATTGCCATAAATTTCAATCCCATTAGTAGAATTATATTTCCTCTTTTTGTGATGCCACATACTCAAGCATTCCTGCCATCACACAGCAAACACACCTTCATCTGAATAGGCCTAAGTCTTGTCACACTTAGTTTTACTAGCAGACTTGACTTTGGGAAACACAAATTAATTTACTTGACCCGTTGTTGACTCCCCACGTGCAACTCAAGAATTAACAAAATTGGCCTTTTTCTTATCTTGATTTCTCTGAGGCTTAAGTAATCTTTTCTGTGTAAGTCTGAATGAAAGAAGAGTTCTTTGACTGAAGAAGAGTGACTGATTAAATGGTTTTCATATATATTAAGATATATGATTTCTTAAAAAAACATTAAAATACATAGAAATCAGCTGAGCTTCTAACAATTCTAACAGCTCCCAAAATTCTGTGTGTGTAAGGAAATGTCCTTACAAAAATCTTTTTTGGTTTTTGGGAAGCCCAGACTGATATTAGCACAGATTGCTATTGGCTCTTGTCACCACTAGGAGAAGGATCAGAAGGATCCAAATGGGTAAGTCTATGGGCGAACCAAAGTTTATTTCGTTGACATTTCCCAATTAGTAACACATGCTCTGACTTCATCTGTTGCAAAGAACACAGCAGTATTTTGAAACTCCATCAATTATTTTTTGTCTTTAAGTAGTCACTGTCTGCTACCGCACTGTATCATCCACCTTTGAGAAATAAGTACCTGTCAGAGAGCAGAGCCGTGACTTCTCTTTTAGATTTCTGACTTTCTCTGGGAGACTTCTGACAGCCACTAGACAAGCATGCTTCCCTCTTCCCATCTGCAAAATGTGTTTGGTGATGCCCTTTGCACTTCAGAATTGTCCTCTGTAACCTAATTACTTTTTGTTTTAAAATTATTTTCCAGGTGTTAAGAGGGAGGCATTTACAAGACCCACGAGCCTTTTTTACACATCTTGGATACCTCAGGCTGGTGTTCTGCCTGACCACCTCCAGGTATAAGCAGGTGTGTGAGAAATGGCACTCCACAGCCTATCCTGTGCCCTGCCTAGTGGGTCTCACTGCAATATCCTTCTGCCTTTGCATGCACACACACAAGGCTGGCACTGCCAGCCACGTGCAAGCAAACCCCCACCACCCTGTATGTCAGCCTAACCAACGCCCAACTACAGCAGCTAGGCTGTCACAAGACACACACAGCACAGCATCACACCAGTCACCTCTTGGGTCCCTCCCCTCCACCATGACACGGTAACAGCTGTCAAACATGCTTGGGATGGCAGCCATGGTATTCCTGTGGGGCAATATCCGGCCAAAAGCAGGTGTGGCAGCAGGTATTTATGAAAGCACAGTCTCCTCGTCCAGGTATTACGCTAAGTGTCTAATTATCTTCCAGGATAATAGCAGGCAGGACTGGATCTTAATTGTGCTTTACAATTAGGAAGCATTACAACAACATGACCCATGCTAAAAAACACCATAGCCGCAGCCACATGCTGCATCCCAAACAGCAGGACACCCACACATCTGGATTGAGCTGAAATCTCACCTGCCTCAGAGAGAGCTCAACTTTAAGCAGGGCTCAACCAAACATTTTCGTTTTAATTCCATCTAATTTTTTTTAATTTTAACATCTGCAAGCTTCAGCCCACCTGTGATCTGGGCAGAGGCCTCAAACATCCTTCTCCTCATGGACTGCCTTTAGCTCCTCACTCTTTCTGAGAGGTAGATTTTTTCATGATACTTAAGGTACAGTTTTTTCTGCTTATGCTGAAAGGACCTGAACCAAGAATGCAGTCTGAAACACTGCCCAGAGCATGTCCTTGATGCGGTCTCCCTGCACTTGGATCCAGCCAAGTAACAAAATATAAGCTATCAATACCAGCTGAGAGGAGCATTTTTCTTCTTGTTCTCCCACTTCATAGCTGAGTAGGTATCTGGCTGAGGGCAGAAGGACAAGTCAGCATTGCTGTCTTCTGGAGGGCAAAATACTATATAATTGATGTCATTGAAACTTTTAATACTATCTTTTAAATAAGAATGTGGGGTACTTTTGTGGCCTTCCAGAAGGCAATTTATAGGCAGACTCTCAGAATTTGATCTGTCCAAGGAGATCAGTTCCTGTCCCCAGGGAGCATTCAGTATTCATCTTCTAATAGGTAAACTTCAAGAAAAAGCTTTGACACTTTCTCCCACCCTCCCCTTAAGTTTGGGTGGAGCATCCTACAAGTATCCCTAAAACTGTATTTATGTAATCTCATTTACATCCCTCCTTATAACACTCCTTTATTGAGATGCTGCTAAACAACCTTCCTTGTTTGTCTTTATCAGTCCACATCCTCTGATTTTATAATCATATTTCATGCAGCCACCTAGAACAATAGGCTGCTGGTGTGTAGTTGCAACTGTTTAAATGGTGAAGTAATAAATAACAATGAAATAATAACAACAGTGCAAGAACAGAACACCAGAGGAAGTCTGTATGTTCCTGCAATAAATATTGTGGTGGAACACAGTACCTCAAACAATAATGTATTTTACTGACTATTTTTTTTCCTGGATCTCAAGGGACTTACACATTAATTGATCTCATATGTGGCGGAATTGCTACTGCAATTCTGTAAAAAAAGTTTTCATGAAAATATAAAACATACTTAATCATTTTATTAATTAGTACCCAAATTTGTCTTATATAAAAAAATCCAAACTTGAAGTTTCCAAAATTAAAAAACATAGTTTAAAAAAATCTGTAAAAGCTTGAAAAATGTCATTTTCTTACTAAGAAAATGATGAAGAATATTTTTAACTCTATAGTGGTCAAGGTCCATTTAGCCAAGGGCCCACATTCAATGTTCACTGAGCAGTCTTGGGAGTTTTCAGGAAGCAGAGAATGATGGCTTAAAATCGCTGAACTTAGTATCCCCATGAAGTAGCCTGCTTTCACATTGTTTAACCTGTAACACTCTGCTTCCTTGCTTTTCTATTTGTTAATTCCACTTAAAGATTTCTCTGCAGCATCTTGGTTTTTAGTCCCATTGTCCACTTCTTTTTTGTGAAAGACCTTTGGTCTTATCAAGGATGGATATCATGCCTCACATTTATAAATGGGTGTCTAAGGAGAGTATAAGAGGGAAAACATCATTTAATGTTCTCTCAGCCCTCACAATTTAAGATACAGAGTCCTCCTCAGCCTACTTTAACTGGATTTTTTTTTTCTTCTACAAACTTGTCCAGATTCTGCCTGCAACCTGCACAAACTTTGGCAATCGTGATCTCCTACCATAGGGAACTCCCAAGCTGCAAAAGCCACGTCCTTCTGTTTGTCCCAGGGATATGGTGGTTGAGCAGTTGATCTTGAAATTTGCAAAATCTCAGGAGACAAAGCTGTGTACTTAAAGGTGGGTTGGATTGATGCACATCCAAGCCTTACCCCACGAAGGAATCAGGATGCTTGTGGAGGACACACCCAAATCTGGGAACTGGCAAGCTATCACAAGTCCAGGAATATCAAGAGGCCCAATGGGCCTGATGAGCTTGTGGGCGTGCTCAGTGAGAAAGGGGAATGTGAAGAGCACAAACAAGGCACTAAATTCACATGTGTTATTAATGATATCAGATAAGCATTAGTACACAAGTGGAAATTTGTGTTATAAATTACACACTGAGAGATCAGTGGGAAGGGTGCACTAAAATGATTTGGGGTTTAAAAGGCAGAATGAAACTCTTTAAATTGTCTTAGTTAAAAAAACTCCCTTATGCAATGAACTCCTATTTAAGGTCTTTTACTATCTATTCCATAAGAGATGTTAGTGCAGTTTTGAGATTATCTTATTATGGATCACTTTTCCCATCTCTATTTCCTGGAAAACAGAGCAGACAGACCAATAATAGAGTTAACCTGCAGCACCAGGTTGGGAGACTTTAAGCACTAGATGAGTATTAAACAAAGGGATCCGAAAACTCTACATAAACCTAGTGCAAGGTTGGGCACAATTAGCAAGATATAAAAGAAGCCAATTTAAAATGTCCAAAATCAGTAAGGTGAATCAAAAATACGTGACACAATCTTGTTCTATCTATAAAATTTTGCAAGAATGAGAAAGTAATAAAAACAGCACTGAGAAAAGGAAGACTGAGAAAAAAATCAGTGTTAGGAAAATGATCCAATACAGAAGTCTACTTTGCTGGTGATGGAGGACATGTGCCTCTGAGTTTGTAAGCCTATGTCAAGCTAATCTCTAGAGAGCTGTAAAGATGGCTGAATCAATCCACAATACTCCCCTGGTTTTACACAAACCAGAAAAATTTTCTTTGTATTTTTTATCTCAAGACGCCCATTTTGCTGTTTCTCAGTGGAAGTCCTATAAAGTTATGGACCTTCAGTTTGCACTAGCTTTACATTATCAGAAAATCTAAGCAGAGGTTAATTTAATTAATTTTAACTTTTGAAATATAGGTTTATTTTATATAATAATTGAACTGTCATTGAACTCTGTGACTTCTGTAAGTCTGGCTGCATAGAAAAATATGTCCTCAAACAGTTTAAAAGCAAATCTTTCTGATAAATAGAGCTGAAAATTTTCACACTCAGTAAAATTAAATGTTACAGGAAATAAGCAGTTGTCAGTCAAAACTAGATTCAACATTTAAATATGTAAGCAAGGCAGTGCTCCCTGACTGGTATGATTTTCTTTTCCTACACAATGAACATCCACAACAAATAAAGCATTCACCTTTTGCAAGTGACTGTCCTGGGCTTTCTGTGCAAAACTTTTTCCCCTCCAAAATCACCTATGTCAAACAAACTGCTCCTTTAGAAAGCTCTATGGGGTGGTGGGACATTGCTTGGACTGGGAAGCAGAAAAGGCTGAGCATTTCACTCCATATCTCATGCCCTAGAAACTTTCTAGTATTGAACAATACAGCATCAAAACATAATAAACCTCATCAAGAAAAAAACAGCCTAAAGATGAAAATGAAAAGCATTGATCTAGATGAGAAAAAGGATGAGAGGAATTTTGATAAGCTCATTGTTATGCAGATATTTTAATAGAACACAATGATCTAGGGAGATATCTAAGGGTTGCAATTTTTCCACACCTCTTTTTTCAGCTCAGTGTGCATATTTGTACATTCAAATGGATTTTAGCTGTAGGAAAGGTTTTCTCTCCAGACTGTAACTGAGCTTCAAATATGCTTTCCATGCTGTACAAGTAATCTAGTGAGAAGGTTTGTATATATTCTTCTTCCCCATACATTCATCAACAACTGAGCATCTTACTGCTCTTGACTAAAAATCAGTGAAAAACTCTTCACATTCCTTTTGGTCTCCAGACAAGCTGTTGCAGAACTTGAAGCAAATAATGTTAGAAAAGTACAAAAATACCTTGTCCTGGATCTTTTTAAGTGAACAACTTTAGCTTGACCCTTCTCATATGGAAACTTTCTGCATTCAGACCTTTCTATGTGTATAAATGAACAGATGAAAGACAATCAGCCCTCTTCTCAGATAGGAGGAGGTGGTTTTCATTCAAGCCATTTTTTCTAATGTTTTGCAGTTCAGATATTTATGGACCATTAATAAATATTTGCATAATTGTAATTCCTGGACAGTTTGTAAAATGATTTAAGAATAGGAAAAGCTAACTGTAAGCCATGCCTATTGATGAATGAAATTTGATAATCCGTAAGAGATGCCAAGTGTGCAGTCCTGAGCTCACATCAAATATTTTTGAGAGGCCCAAAGTTACATGGGGTGGACATTACTGTAAGAAGGAACCATGGAAAGAAAGTTCTTATTGCAATCTTTCCTGTGAATAAAAAAATATTTATTTGAAGATTCAGATCTGAAATATTTTAGGCAATCTGTGCAAACATGTTCTGCATTACAACTGGTGGCTACACTTCAGTGTTATATGGACAAAGATATAGGAAAAACAATGTCTTCTAACTGTGTTGCCTAATCTTCAGCATACCACGATCATACATTTTCTATCTCTCTCCTTTTAAATGTAGTCTGCAGTGTTTGTGACACTTGATATATTCAGAGTAGTTTTACAAGCATGAGGATGCTCCAGGGGTCTAGCAAAGATACTCACACAAGTCTGCTTTCCTGGCATTTTTCATCTGTATGATTTTTACGGTGAGCAAGTTGCATGGAGACGGTTCTGTCTGTTGAACAGCACACAAAATGCATGGGATGAGAATGCAAAAAGGAAGAACAGAAGTATAGTCAGAGATAGAACTGAACTACTGTTTCAGTTCCAAACAAAAAAACCTTTCTGAACTGAGGTTCCTTATTGTGCATTGACTTCTTCCCAGGTTTGTCGCCAGGTATGACCACAGAGCAGACCTCTGATGTCCTCTGTTTTCCATTCTGAGGACACTTGTGGTAAACCTTCAGCTTGAGGTATCTGACTGTTACAACCCAATCTCATAGAAAGATGTGATAAAGAACCTTGCTGTGTTATTAATACAGCTGACACACATCTTGGTCTGAGAAAATTCACAGGATGACATCTATATCCATTGTATTTCACAACAAACAGCAAACAATCTAGCAGGGCAGGAATTTGTAATGATATCAGTATGTAATGATGCTGCGCATCAGTTGATTTATTGCTACATATTTATATTCTTATGTCTGATATAGAGCAGCGCTGGCTTTTAAAAAAATGAGGCCCTGGAGAGGGCCTTCTAGAAACCTATCCCAAATTTCTCAGGAAGAGTGAGTGAAAGGCACAATTCTGTAGTTAATTACCTCCCTGTGAATAATTCAGCTCACTCAATCTTCCTTTAAGCAAATCTCTGAGGAATGTATCAAAGGAAATATTTGCAGCTTCCTAGTACTTAAAGGGGGCTTATAAACAAGAGGGAGAGTGACTTTTTACACAGCTGGATGACAAGGAATTTTTTTAAACTAAAAAAGAAGAGATTCAAATCAGAAAGAAATTCTTTACTCAAAGGGTGCTGAGGGACTGGAACACGCTGCCCAGAGGAGTTGTGGGTGCCCCATCCCTGGAAGTGGTTCAAGGCCAGGCTGGACGGGGCCTTGAGCAACCTGGGATAGTGGGTGATATCCCTGCCTCTGGGGATGGAGTTGGAGCTGGATGATTCTTAAGATTCCTTCCAACCCAAGCCTTTTTACGATTTTGGAAAACCACCTAAATCTAAAAGTGGTTACCAAAGGACATTTAACAAACTTGTGAGGAAACAGCTTTGATTTAGTCATCCTCTCATCTTAAGCAAGGATCAGAAAAATGTGATAATTAATATGTAGGGGCTGAAATTGAGGTACTTTTTTCTCTAGATAATTGTCCTTCTTAAAGGAATGAATGGAGGGAAAATTGCACACTTAATGCTCTAAATTACAAAAAAAAACACAACCAAACCAATCAACAAATAAAAAAATACAAAAACCCCAACCAAATAACAACAAAACCCCATCAAAAATCCCACCAATAGAAACGCCAGCCCCAAAAAACCTCCAACAAAACCACACCAAAAACCAAGAGGAAAGAGCAAAACTGAGTAGTGATGCAACAAGCACATGTAAGAGACAGTTTATGCACACTACCTACAGAGCAGGGAGTATCACTGCAACAAATATATAGATCGGTATATAACAATACATTACCATTCATTCCTTTATGCCCCAAAACTGCCACGATTTTTGCATGCTATCTTTAACATCTCACATAATATTAGTTTCCTTACTTTCCCTACGCATTCATTGATATTAGTGATAACTCCTTATTTTTCCTCAGTGTGTTGTTTTGCCTTGCCCAGTTGGGTAGAAATAAAAAGCTATCTTCTCTTATTAACTGGGAATTTTCAAAATACTAAATTATTACATCAATAAAGTTTTTACATTCTGGAGGCCCAAAACACAAAGTAGTCACAAAACCTAGTCAGAAAGGAACCCTGCTTTGCTCAGGACAATTCTCAGAGCTGAAGATAGAAGAGGTGAACCATCCCCTCCTAGAGCGGGTTCCCTCTGCCCCAGGGCAGCCCGCTCAGCTCATTGCAGAGCCTCCTCTTGCCTTTTCTCACCTGGCTCTTGCTGTAGAACAGCCCCATGGTGGTCCTTTCCCCGTCTGAGCCAGGTGTGAAACGCGCTAGTGGATGTGTCCGAAGGCGACTCAGGCAGGCAGCTCCGTGCGCTTTAAGCAGCCAGGAGCCAGCAGGCAGGAGTGTGAGTGCCTGACTCACGCAGCCTCACCCCGCCACCAGCACCTGAGCAATCCCAGCTCCTCCTCCTCTTCCTCCTCCTCTCTGCCCGGGAGCTGAGTGCACACCTGCACCGAAGCATCTGGCTCCGGCACTGCAGAAGGAGGGTCTCTGCACAGTTAGAGGGAGATCAAGACTGAAAAGTGATTTTCCCTTCATGGTTATAGGTACTCAACAAATGTTTTACACTTTTAAGCATCCTCATCACTTTCTGAGGCTGCAATGATCTTGCCCACAGGTGAGCTGTCAACCTGCAGTCATGTGTGGGGAAGTGACTGGCAGCAGCCAGGGACCATCTGTCCAGGACTTCTTTGGCCAAGGGCATCCAAATAGACCAATGTGCATACAAAAGCCTTTTTGTAGCTTTCATTGCTTTTTTTTGTAGCTTTTCATTGTGTTCTATGCTTAAAGACACAAGTAAAAAAAAATTTTGTTGTATCCATCTCACCTTCCATTTTGCTCTGTTCAAGTTGTAAATTGTCTTTCAGCCAAGCAGATATTGCAGTGACAAATATTGCAGGAAACAATTCCCAAATCACCTGTGTGACCCGTGAGAGTTTCCCTTGTAAAGAAAAAGCTTTAAAAGCTCACTTACTTTTTCAACAATTTTGTTACTTTGTGCATCTGAATTCAGATGCTTCAGTGAGCGACCTCTAAGAGGATATATTTGGGAGGACAAAATAAATGTTTAAATCCATGTTAATTACTCTTCATGTTCCCACATACTCTTTATGTCATCACATTTATAAGACTTCACTGCACAGGACACTATACAGCATGTGAGGTGGTCCCTGCCTCATTGAGAGAGTAGACAAAATTAGTACACAAGAAGTAAAAAAAATGGGAGTTTGGGTTTTGATTTTGTCTTTTTAAAAATCATCCTTGCTATTATAAAAGTTAACAGATCAATCAGTTTCAAAATAATCTCATTTCACTTTGCAATGAATTGAGAACCCATTGATAAAGGTAACTTCAATGACATGATATAATTTAATTTCATAAAATATCTGGCACTTTAATACATTCTAACCTCAGAACTAGATCCAACAAATGTCACCCAAACAAATTTTTAACACATTAAGGATGGGTAACTAGCAGATCACAGCAGTAACCCACAAGAAAATATTCCTAGAGAGATGGCAAAAGCTCAGTTACAAGCCTGCACGTTTTTATCAGTCATCCTGAATATCTTGAAATTAAAAATTATATATATATATAATATTTATATATAAAATATATAATTTTTATATTTCTATATCTAAATAGAATTATATATATATATAACAATCACCATTGTTACTCTGTTTCAAAAATATTGAAACACTGAGGAAACTGAAGTTTCAGAGTAGTAGGAGCTCTCAGAGAGGGAAAGACAGGTTTTGTGTCAGCCAGCAGGACACAAAGAAAAGCAGCATTAATCAGTCTCAGGCTACATATTGCACCTACCTGGCTTTTTTCCAACCTATTGTTGAGTAAGATTCCCCTGTAAAACAGATTGAAACATCCTCCATCCTACTTTGTTTCATTTCCAGCAAAAAGGTCTAGGAAACCATGACAGTAAACACAAAGATATCTCTAGAAAGGACCCAGAAGCATCCCATGAAATAGCTATTCTAGTGTATGGAAGCAGAACCACAATTATAGCTGCCTCATACATGAAGGGACAATAATCTAGATTTAGATATACAATATTGTACCTGAAAGCAGGGTTACACCATGCTCTTACAAGTGTTTCAGGTATATGAACACCATGAATGTGCTCATAAGTGAAAAAACTTTGCCCTCTCCTCCTCCTCCTCCACCCAAAGTGCTCTTAGATGCCCCATCAGCTGGCTATTTTTTTTAGAAATAAATAAAATAATCCTTTTCCACCATCCATTACCTAGAACTTCATCCCATTAAAAAAAAAAAATATTGTTTCTGAAGATAGTCAAGACTATCCTGATCTCAACACTAACTTTGCCCTGGTGACTGTCTGAATTTCCTCACAACAGTGGAAGTCTTTTATTAACAAAAGGAAGATAATCAAAAACATTTTCTGAGCTCCTGTGACTAACCTCTTCATAAATCACAGCTCCACAGTACCAGGCTGGTGTTGTGAAAGACGGTGCTTGTGATCTGCCTATTAGAGAGTTGTGAGAGAAGTCTTTGGCCACTACTGTCCCCCAGAGGACCTCTAGGATTTTTAATAATGAGAAACCAGCATCTCAGAACAATCCCTGCAAAGACCATTTTCCTGTAAGTGTTGAACAGGTGTGAAAGGTATATCTGGAAAGGATCCCAAAAGGGTCTCATGCATTGCCTATTCTGCATAAACAGCTACCAGCCACTTCCCAGCTTATGAAACACTGGGAGAAATCACAAGGTCATCCTTCAGGAACAGTAAAGGCAGGTACAGAGGAGTGAGACAGGACACTCAGCAGAATCTCCAAGAGAAAAGTGAAGGAAAGTTGGGCAATACGTCTACTGCTTAGGCTGAATATGAGTGGTTCTGGGAGCAGCAGCTCAGAGAGCACTTGTTTCATCTGAAACAATGATCTAATTCAGGGGTAGTTTTTTATTGCTGGTGAAAACTGTATAAATTTTAACAACAGTACAATACTAACTTCAGAAACTTATTTTCAAAGACTTGTGAAGACAGTTAAATAAAAATCTCATAGTGGACAGACAATAAAATCAGAGATGACAACCTTCAATAATTAAATAAGCAAGACCAGCACAATGAATTATTTACCAAAGAAATTTCAGTTCAAGGGATTGTTGTTCTGCCACACAGAAAACACACCATATAAATACTATTTTGATACAAATTTTAATGTGCCACATAATTCATTATTATCTTCCACAACATTATAATAATTTATATTGAATATCTATAACAATTAGTAAAGTAACTTGATAACAAAACTAAAAACAAATTTAATGTGTTGAAGTTTGTTTTGGATAAAACCACTGGTAAATTACAATCTATTTGTCTGCAGAGCCATGTAAATAGAGTGGAGTCCAGAATGTCCTTAGGATGATGTGATTTCCACTGCAAGTATCACTGATAAGAATCAAGCATCTTGACCTCACCAAACCATAGGCAACCCAAGAAGTACCACATGAAAGACTGAAGATAGTGTGTGGTGCTTAATACTTCCGCTGCTTCCTCCGTGCCACTGCCAAGCGCAAGGCCTGAATAATCAACTTCTCATTGTTCAGGACGTTGTAATCTGTCAGTTTCACCAGTTTGTCAAAATTCTCTTCACTGAAACACACCTCTCTTGTTGTAAATGGAGAGAGGATGCTGGAGACATCAACTTTGCCTTCAGCCATCTCTTCAGGACTTCTTTCCACACCTAAGGGGACAAACCACAGGAAGATGCACCAATAAGGTTTTATTGCTGTATGTGGCTCCTATCAGTATTTACATAATTATAGGTAGAAAAGGGAGACTTGGAAGGAAAGATATAATTTGCCAGAGGCGAGTAAAAATACTGTGCTAGTAGCACTGTATTCTTCAGCATCTGGATCAAGCCTCTGTCCAAATATGATTTTACATCATTTGATATTTACATCTCTCAAACAGCTTGAAGTCAGAAGAAAATTAGCAGCAGCAATGCTAGACCACTGCTGGGACAACATAGTCTTTTTTACCCAACTAGAAAAGCACAAGCAAAAAGGAAACCAGATACTCTTGTACTAGACAAAATAATAGCCACCTCACTGAAAGTTCAGGAGAAATAATTGCACTCAAAGGACATAATTCAATTAAAACCAAAGATCTTTGTCCACTTGAGCCTCAGTCTGGGAGATTTCTTTTAAATATGTGAAAAAATCTTGAATGAATGGGCTTCACACCAAAACCAGCAGAAGGCTTTTCCTCATCTTAGTTTGCAAGCAGCAGTGCACAACAAGTCCATGTCTGTAGAGCAAAACATCTTGTGTTGAGAACCAACACTTCAATGTGTAGAAGTGTCAGAATTTTTGCTTTCATACTAACTCTAGTCGTTCTTGTGAAATAAGTGCCTGTGCTTTAAGAATCTCAAGTGCTTTAAGAAAGACTCTGAAGTTCATATAGTTCAGATGTACTGACACAGAGAAGTTTGTTTTTTTTTTCAGTGATGAGACCCATACTAGCATTGGAAAGGTCAGAGATGACAGTGACAAACACTTTAGATTTGAAATGGAAAGAATTCACTAGGAAAACAACTTTTTATTAAAATTGTTATCACAGATGACTCACCGGGAGCTTTATATTTCTTGAAGGTGTCATTTACTAGGGGAAAGAAAAGCACTGTGGGAGCCTGTGGACTGTCAGCCTCTTCAAACACATAGCACTCCTTCAAGTTTTCCCTGTCTTCCTCACTTATCTCAATTTTGGGAAATGGAATTTCTTGCTCTGAGAAGTACTTCGCAATCTGATCCAGAGGCTGGATGAAAGAAAAAAGATATATATAAAATTACTACAAACAATGAAAACTGATACAGAGACCTGGATATTTTAAACTGTAGCAGAATATTCTAAGGTTTGAATCTCCTTCTGCAAGATATTAAATTTCAGCTGGAAACAATCATAACCATACCAGACACTACAGTTTATCTTATTTTCCACATTGCTTTAGGCAAAACAAGAAAACAGTCACTTTCTCTGAACTTGGAAATTAATCCAAAACTCACAGGTCTGATTTTATGATTCCATTGAAAGAAGTTCAGAAGGGGAAGGCAAAGTAACTACAAGAATTGAGAAGGAACACATCAGTCCAGATTACTCTGCATCATTGTCTTGACTTTACTGTTTACCATTTTCTCAGTCTTTCTGTCTGCTGCATAATTGGTGTTCCTTGATAATGACTCCCTATTAATAAACACACTTACCAACATAACTCGTGACCTCATAAAAAAACTTTAATAGCTATATTTACTATAAACCTATGTTTTTTGTATTATTATTATA